AGGTTGGATGTGTGGGTGAGGGAGTGGATGAGGTGGTGGACACAGGCAGGTGGTAGTCCGGTGAGTAGGTAGGTGGGTGAGAGGACACTGGATATGTGTGTGGGTAGATGAATGCATGGATAGGTGGGCGAATGGGGTGGGTGGGTGATGGGCATGTGGAGGAAGGCGAGTGGGGGGGGGCAGGAGACCACCTGTTGGAGAAGCAGTGGGCAGCAGACACCACCCAGCACGAGTGGATGAGGCTGCCGGCACAGAAGCTGTCCCCGATGTAGAGAGCAGCCAGCCAGGGGTGGGACCCAGGCAGGGCGGCCGAGCCCCCGATGATTCGGGGCCGCAGGAAAGTCCTCTTCTTGTGCCTCCGGCCACAGGTCTTGCGCGCACCCCCTGGGGGCTCCGGTAGGGCCAGCAGCACCCCAGGGCTGGAGGGGGGCTGGTTCCTGGACAGGGTTTCTGGGAGCACAGGTCTGGGGTCACACACATGCACAGCACAGCCAGGCCTCCTCCGCAAAGCCCGGTCCCCAGATACAGAAGCAGCCCAGAGGGACCCACTGACCCTGCTACCCACCCTTCCCAAGTTCCTCTGTCTCACTGGCCCCACCTTGCCCCCCAGCCCTGGACGCAGGCTGCTGGTCCAGCTGTCCTTACAGGCATGCGTTTCTTCTCTGAACCTGTTTCCAATGGGAAGAGCTCTACCTACGTACAGAACTTGTGGGGGTCAGAGAGGCCAGCCTGGTGCACTTGTGCACCTGTCAGAGAGGCCAGCCTGTCCACCACCTCATGGAGGGGGGGCGCTGCTCGAGACCCATTAACGGCTGAGGCCGGGACAGGAGACAGGGCCTCAGGGGTCCAGGCCTCAGGGCCGTCCTGCCTCCCACCCACCTCAGGAGCTATCCTGAGGGTTGGACTGCAGATGGCCCCGACCACCAAGGCCTGCTGCCTGACGCCCACCCTTGGGTGGGGCAGTAGTCCCAGGAGGCCAGGCGTGGCGAGGGTGGGGAGAGCTGGTGGGGCCTGGGTGCAGGGGGCGGCGCCACCCACCACAGGCCACCAGGTTGCAGTACTCCCAGGAGAGCACGCTGTCCTTGATCGCATAGCACCAGGGCCTCTCGTCCTTGTCGGGGTTCCTGGAGGGGTGCAGAGGGGGCAAGGTGGGACCGGGAGGGGCGTTGGGTCAGGCGCGCTGCACCCCAGGAATAAGCACCGGCTGACCGGACTCCACCCAGTCAAATTCCCTGTCCAGCCCTAGGGACCTGGGACTGGACACCTGCGGGGCTGAGGGCCCGTCCCGAGTGGGAGGGGCCCCCGGGGCCCGCCCCCCGCAGGCGGACCGCTGCAGGCGGCCCCGCCCCGTGGGGTACTGACCGGCAGTAGGCGTGGGGGCCCAGGCCCAGGAACGCTGCGGCGCTCACAGAGTCCACGTGCAGCTCCTGGAAGAGCAGGTCCGAGTTCCAAGCCAGGCAACTCAGGCCCGAGGCGGTGGTGCTGGCCAAGCCGCGGTACTCCGTCCCGTTGCCCTGGAAACAGCGCTGGGCGGGCACTGAGGACGGGTTAGCCCGAGGTTGAGGTTGGCGTTGCGCACCCCTCCCTGCCAACCCCACCCCGGGTCTGTGGCCACTCACCGGTGTTGCAGAGTCGGCCGGCAAAGCCCGGCGGGCAGGTGCACACGGTGGTCCCCGTGGCCTCGACCAGATGGCACGTACCCCCGTTGAGGCAGGGGCTGCTCACGCAAGCTGGGACACGGGGTGTGATGGGGTCAGGCCCGGGGATCCAGCACCCAGAATCCACCTTGCATCCGATCTTCCCCACGCTGGACCTCTGGCTGCGCTTACCTGTGTGCCACGCATCCGAGCACCGCACTTGGCCCTTGGCACAGACGCACTGCTCCACCCGACCCTGCCGCACGTGGGCCCAGCGCTCGCCGTCCTCCAGGTACTCTAAGCGCGTCTCATCGAAGCACTTCTCTAAGGGCAGAAGTGGGCCACTCGCCCCACCCACAGAGTGCAAACCCCACCCACAGGTCCCTGGACCCATACAAAGCCCACTTCTCACCTGCCCACAGGCCCTTGGGCCTCAAACTGCCTTCAGCTCACCTGCTCACAGGCCCCTGGACCCTGCACGGCTCCCGTCCTCACCTTGGCTGCAGTCCTGGCCTGTGAAGGCCACCGGGCAGGAGCACAGGTAGGACGTGGTATCCTGGGCACTGAAGCAGGACCCCCCATTGAGGCAGGGCCTGGAGGCACAGGGGTCCAAGGGGCCTGGGGGAGCCAGAAGGGCATGAGGGCCCAGACAGAGCCCCACCTCTTGGCCTCAGGGTCTGACCCTGGACCTCCAGCCCCTGGGTTCCCCGGGGTGCAAACCCCTCCCGGGAGGATGTAGTCCAACCTTCCTGCTCGCTGGGGCTTCTTCCCAGGATCTGCAGCCAGCGGGGGCGGGGGTCTGGCCGCCCATGCACAGTCAGGTGGCAGGAGCCCCCCCACCCACCACGCTGCAAACCCCACTGGGCCCCATCCCAGAAGCCCGTGATCCCCGCGGTCAAACATTTGGCCCAAACGGCTGCACTGCCCAGCCTGGCCACCAGGTGGCAGCGAGGCCCCACCAATGGGGTGTCCCCAAGTCTCCACGCCCCGTCGTCCCCGCCCACCCCGGCCCACTGCCCCGCCACCCTCCCGCTCCCCCCAGGCCCGGCGCCCGGCACCCACCTGGGGCCCCCGGAGGCGTAGTGGCTGGGGGTGCACAGTAGCCCCAGGCCCGGTCCCGGTCATAGTTATGAGTGGTGGCGCACCTAGGGCAAGGCCTGTGCTGACGGGGGTCCCAGCCCCGCATCTGCCCGCCCGGACGCCCCGGCACTGACCACCACGCCAGCCAGGCTCCCCGCTCCCCAGCACGCACCACTTCCTGCGGGCGCCGCCCTCGGACGTGCAGGCGCGGTGCACACGGCCGCCGTACCGGAAGGGGAATCGGCATGGCTGGCCATCCTCCGTGAGCACTGGGAGAGGGGGTCAGGGTCAGCGGTCAGCACCCGGCACTCTGACCACCACCCCTGGGAGCCCCGGCCCACCTAGGCCCTCAGTGCTGCCAGAGATGGTGCCCCCGGGGGTGGGGGTAAGCCCCGCCCCGAGGGACTGGGCTGAGCCGGGCGCTGGGCTCTGCGATGCCACCTTTGTCCCAGGGAACGCAGGGGAGACTGAAGTCGTGGGAGGCCCGGCGGGCGCTGTGGTGTTGAATTCTGGGGGCTCCGGATGGTTCTAGGGGAGGCGAGAGAGCTGGGCTGGGCCAGGCTGCTGGGAAGCCCCCTGCCCTATGGAGGAGGCCCTCGGCCCGCTGACTTGCTGCCCCCCACCCAGTCTCCACTGCAGGCCCCAGGCCTTGGGAAAGGATGGGGGCTCTGCCCGCCTCCCAGCACCCTTCCCCCAGTTGGCCCTGTCTTCTATCAGAATCAGATCCTGGGGTGGCCCCACCCCCACACTCACACTTGGACTGGAGACTGAGGGCACTGGACTCCCAGAGCAGCACAGGCCGAGCTACCCAGGGGCGGGCCACCTATGGTCAGGCTGGACCCTGGGGGCCCTCAGCACACCCACCTCCACCCTAGAGGGCCAGTTACCCTGAGTGGGCCCCTTAGGGCCCCTGCTTCCCACAGGCCCATGGACCTGAGTGGGCAAGGGGTCACACTCACCCCACCAGCCTGGTGCTGGGCCCCTCCGGATGCCAGCAGCAGCAGCAACAGCAAGAGAACACATGGCCCAGGCGGGGGGCAGTGGCAGGGGACCCAGATCTGGTGCCCCATGGCTCCTCCTGGGCCAGCAAAGGGCAGGGTGGCTGGACAGAGTGGCCAGGGCAGCAGGGGTCAAGGCCACTGGGCAATGATTAACCCAGCAGGACAGACTGGGGTCTGGGCGTCTCGGCAACCTGCTCCTAGTGTCTGCTTGGCCACAGGGCAGAGGCCGGCTTGTCCTGCTGCTGCCCAGTGCCACAGGCGTGGACACAAGCTCACCACGAGGTCCCTTGCTACGTTCCCCGGAGCAGAGCTTGGGGTAGGGTCCGTGGCAGCCCCTGTGATGATTAAGGGTCCCTGTTCCGGCTTTGTGCCTCTCCACCGGGGACCCCTGTCCCTCTTCTGCCCATGCAGACACCACTCACAGGAATCCCCCAGCCCCATTATAGCCAGAAGAAGGACTCAGTGCCATCCAACCAGCCCATGACCCCACCCACCCCACCCCAGGGCCATGAAGGTCTTCGGGTACACACTTGCCAGCTGGGGTGCAGCCGCCGTGCGCAAGACTCGGGGCTGCAGGCAGAGGGCCCCTATCAGTAGCTGGGGTGGGGTGACCCCCTATATGCCTGGGGCAGTGGGCTGAAGACACCCATCCGTCGCTGGGTCTGAGGTGCCCCCATGTGTGACTGGGGCTGAAGTCAGGGTGCACCCCCCACCCCGTGTGATTCAGGCTGCGGTGAGGTCAGCAACCTGGCTGCCCTGTGGCCTCACTGGGTCCCGCACCCTCTCTGTTCGACTGCTCCTGGCCCCGCTCCCTGAGGTCCTGGTATCCCAGATTGTAGGTCCAGCTCTGGGCAGCGTGGCTGAGTCACACTTTTTCCTTTCTGGTGCCCTTTAACCCCTGGCCCAGCCCCTCAGAGCAGGAGGGGCTCTTGCCAAGCAGGGCCCTTGACAGCTCATGGTTCAGGGGGTGAAGAGTGGGGGACACCTCTCTGAGTGGTGACACTGAGCCACCCCACCCCCCACAGCATGGGCCCCAGAGGCGGCCTCACCCCATCCTCCATGCCAGGGCCACCCTGTTCCTGATGGCCCGGTGTCCTGACGGGACACCTCCACCTCCCCCGACCACCCAGCCTTTACCCGGGGCTCCCAGGCCACCTGTGAGAATCCTGGCCGTCACTGCTACTCTCGTCGGGCGCTGGCCACTGCAGGGCAAGCTCAGCCGGGCCTCTGGGTTTGTACCCCCGCACCCTCCCATGCACGCCACTCCCGGACCACCCTCAAGGCAGGGGGCAGTTCAGTCGCCAGAGCCCCCACCTCTGGCCAGCGATTCCACCACCAGACCACTGTCCAGGCAAAAGGCCCAGTTCCCGGCCACCATGTGGTCAGGGACACACTGTAGGGTCACATGTCCCCACCCCCTGCCCCTGGAATGGGGGGCCACGAGCGGGGGGCAGAGGAAGGTATGGGCGTGCCTGGGTGGGTTCATTGGGGATGTGAGGGCAAAGAATGGGACCCTCACCCTTCCTGGGCTCTCCTCCTGGGCCCATAACCCGGTCCAGGGCACGGAGAGCATGCCAGGCACCCCCGCTACCCCAAGCCTGGCACCCAGGACCCCAGCCAAAGTCACATGCTCTGTGGGTCCTCAATATGCTTTACTGACAGTGCTGGGGGTGCCTGTGCGCCACCCCCCTCCCGCTTGGCCCTGGCCAGCCTCAGAAGTCCTGGGGACAGAGGTCTTTGGGATGCCTCGGCTGCCGGTGGCCTCCCTTGTGTCCAGTTGCGGGGCCAGGGGACTCAAACAAAGGTGGCATGGTGTTTGGGGGGCTTCCCTGGGGCAGGTGCCAGGACGGGGGCTTCTGGCTCTAAGGGCCCGCCAGCCCAGGACCGCCCAGGGCCCGCCTGGGCCTCGGGGACACTGCTGTCCCGGGTGGGCGCTGGGCTGGTGACGCAGTCCACATCGAAGGTCCTCCTGACCAGGGGTCCATGGCTGCTGTGGGCCCCTCGTCCTGTAGTAGAAGGGAGGGCTGTCACCGAGGGCCCCCAGCCCCTGACCACTGCCTACCCCCTCGGGGCCTCAGGCTGGGGACTGTCGCCAGCAGGTCTGCACCCGAGGGAGGGTCCCCAGGCCTGGCTGCAGACATCTGGGAGCCTTGGGGCCCAGACATGGCTGTCTGGATGGGCTGTGGGTGGCCACACCGGGCCCTCGGTCCTGGTCTGCGCTGGGCTCTGTCCTCCCAGCTCAGACTGGCCATGCCGTCCTCTCTGCCCGTGCCTCCCTGCCACGCTATCCTTATCCCTGGGGGCCTCCTCCAGGCAGAGCCAGGGACTCTGGGGTGCTCCCCCTGCAGGGCAGTGGACGTAGGGCTGGCTTCACACCAGAAGGGCCCGCATGAGGGGGAGGGCAGCTGGGAAGGCGGTGAGGGGGGTGAACCCGGGATGATGGCAGATGGGGAGGGGGGCGTCAGTCGGCTGCCAGGAGGGGTGGGCAGATAGAGAGAAGGCTGCTTGCACTGGTGAACCTGGCCCCATCCCGGGCTCTCTGACCCCCACTCCCCACCTGATGCTGAGGTGGGCAGACAAGAGCCCTCAGACTGGGCTCCCAGGCACCCTGCCTGGCTGCCCTCAGGCCTGGGGCCCAGAGCAGAGAGAGACCCCCAGGGATCCCCGGGGTGGGCCTGCCTGGTGGTCAGGGGCAGCCCTTGGTATCCGAGGTGAGGGAGCGCCCATCCAGTGCAGTGGGGATGCTGTGGGGAGCCCTTGAGCCGGGGCCCTCAGGGGAGGCCCCTGCCCTTTCTGCAGGGGGTGAGCAGCTCACCTCTCCAGTTCCCGCCCCAGGCAACTGATGCCCACCATGCCATCGATACAGGCTTCTGGGTGCTAGCAAGCCACATGCTTCCCAGGGAGATGGGGGTTGACATTGGGGGCAGGAGCTGGGGCGTCTGCAGGACCCAACAGCTAAGCAAGGGCGCAGTTCTGGGGGCTCCCGATGTCCCTCCAGCCAGCCCTTCTTCCTTCAGTGTCTCTGGAAAGGTCTCTGAGACCCCAGGGCTGCAGGGAGGGAAAGGGAGGGGCAGGGCTTGTGCCCCAGTTCAGACGTCCTGCTCTGGGTGGGCTAGTTGGGATGCCCTGGGAGGGAGGGGGCTACCCCAGCGCTCCCTCCTTGCCAAGTCGGAACCTGCTCCCCTAACACTGGGCCACTTCCTCGCTGGGCCAGGATTGCCACCCAGGGGCCTCCTCCTGGGGGACTCTGAGGAGCCACCCAAGGGCCTGGCCTCCTGACCCTCGGCACTCCATGCCTCTCCCCGAGCCCTCAGACAGCCTGGACACACGGACTGGGTGCTGCCCCCAGTTCTGCCTACCTGGCTGTCCACTGGCCCTCGGCCGCCCCTGCCATCACTGACGAAGCCACCCCCGAGCTCACCACCCAGGAAGCTTTGCGGCCCCCCACCACCACCTCTGGCCGCCCTACGAACATGGTACTGCCCGGCTCCGATGGAGCCAGGCGTGTGGTGGGTGTGGGCTCACTCCTCTCCAGCCCGCCCACTGGGGTCCTGCATGGGGACAGACGGTGGCACTGACTGGGGTCTTCAACATTCCCCTGTACACATGCTCAGCTGGCTCTTGGCCAGACGCCATGGGACCCTAGTTGGGACCCTCCTCGCTACCCCAGAGTATGTGGATATAGGGGGCTGGGGGAGACGGCCTTGAGGGCACAGGTGTGGGCCCGGGTGGTCTGCATGGGGTGGGAGATGAACGGTGCCCTCCAGCAGACACCCTGGAGGGTGCAGAGTGGGCATGTGAGGAGCAGGAATGGGGTGTGTGGCGGGAGGGGGCGCGTCAGGGATGGTGGCAGAGGTGGGGGTGAGGGCAGTGGGGATGGGGGGACCAGGACGCAGGAGGCCCTGCAGGCTGGGGGGGCCAAGGCGCCTTGGGGCTGGGAGGAGGCCTGCACCCTGCCAGCTGGCCAGGCCTTGGGGATGTGGGCTGGGGGGGTCTGGGAGGAGGGCCTGTCATGTGTGCTTGCCGGGCTGTCAGGGTGTGAAGAGGGAGAGGGCACTATCCTGGCCACCCGCCGGAGAGCAGTCCCCTCTGTGGGGGCCCCGACTCCATCCACACAGCAGCATCCCCCTTCCCTTCCTCCTGCCAAGGTTGGGGAATACGGGGTTTGGCGGGGGGGCGGGGGAGCAGGGTGCAGGAACCTGAGTCGAGCAGGGGTCCGAGTGAGGGTGGGTGCTGCCCCGGGCTGGGGGACCAGCACCCACGAGGGGAGGCCATGCTCTGGCTGCGGGGGCCGGGGGTGCAGATCCCAGGTATTGGTGTTGCCTACAGGGCAGGTCTGGAGTCTGTCTTTGAGAGCCTGTGCCACAGGTGGGGGGGACATGCCCCCAGGGGCCGGCTCTACCTGCTGCCCCTGTATGTCTCTGCCCCCTGTCCTGGGGGAGCCCTGTTCTGGCCCCAGGCCTTCAGCTAATGCCCGGCCCCCGGCACCCTCTGGGAGGGCTTCCTGCCTGCCTGCTCTCTGGGAGGACGAGGGAGTTGGGTGGTGACCCCCCAACCCTGTGACACTCTCCCAGGATCAGGTGCATCTGGCAGCTCGCCACACCATCAGGCCTACAGCCCAGAGCACCCCTACTCCGTTCCCTGCGCTGGACAGTGGGACCGGTCAGTCAGTGTTGGCGTGGCCACGTTCCTCTCCTTCCTTTCCGGCTCCTTGCAGGGCGGGGTCCTGGCCAGGCCCTGCTCAGCCCACCCACAGCACCACCCTGACCCTAGCACACAGGTGTCCAGAGGGAGTGGGGCCAGACAGAGCAGACAGAGAAGGAGGCGGAGGGCGGGCAGGGGTCCCTGCGGGGGCCCCCTCCGCATGCTGGGGGGAGCTTGGTGGAGGGACAGCGTCCCGAGTGGGGAAGAAAGAAGAGTGACAGGCGGGAGCAGTGACGAGCTGGAGTTTATTTCTCGAGGAGGACAGACTCAGGCGGGCGCGACAGGGCCACAGCACCCACAGAGCAGCCGCAGAGGGGCGGAGCCGCAGGCTGGTGGCCCCCAGAGGACAGACAGAGGGGCGGATGATGGATGGATGGCATGCAGGTCGGGCTGCCTGGGACTGACCCCCAGCATGGGTGGTCCGAACACTCTGAGTGCAGCTTGTCCACCAGGAAGAACGTGCTTCCCACCAGCTAAGGGGGCAGCTCTGAGAAGCCCCCAAGACCAGGGAGCAGGACTTGGGAGCCACAGTGTGTGTGTGGGTACGCACACAGAAGCTGTCACCGCATGGTCACAGCGAGCACTGTGTGTGTGTACACGTGTGTGTGCCTGTGATGTCTGTGTATGTGAGTGTGGTCCTCCTGACCAGGGGTCCATGGCTGCTGTGGGCCCCTCGTCCTGTAGTAGAAGGGAGGGCTGTCACCGAGGGCCCCCAGCCCCTGACCACTGCCTACCCCCTCGGGGCCTCAGGCTGGGGACTGTCGCCAGCAGGTCTGCACCCGAGGGAGGGTCCCCAGGCCTGGCTGCAGACATCTGGGAGCCTTGGGGCCCAGACATGGCTGTCTGGATGGGCTGTGGGTGGCCACACCGGGCCCTCGGTCCTGGTCTGCGCTGGGCTCTGTCCTCCCAGCTCAG